TTTATTGTATTTCTTATTTATCACTATTGATCAATTGATACTGCTGGAACATCTAAATTGAGAGAACTATCTTATGTTATTGTCAGGGTAAGAACGTATAAAGTATAGGTCTACAATATTATATTCTCAAACTTGACAGGTATTTAAATTGTTAAAGCAAAATACATGTAAAAGGTTTATAAGTGTTCGATCGTTTACTCGCCTTCATTCATTGTTTTGATTCGCTCCCTCGCAACCACCCTCTCCCTCCCCTACATTAAAAAAAGTTTTAAAATGGTGATTGAGTCTAATTTCAAAATTTGATGAATATCAAGCAGCTCCAGCTGTGAGTGGACAATCATTGGTTGAACATCTGCACTATAATTATATTGTTTCATGTTATATTTTGTTCAAAATACGTACTGAGTCTAACGGCCAAGGGCATGTGCACCAGCGCAGATCGATTGAAGATACTCTTCGCTGAGATCCTCTTCTTTCATCTCCGGGATCGCAGCCAGAATTTTAGCACCTAAGATGAACATGAAATGTGAAAGTATGATGAAACGAGGAGAGGGGACTGGTCAGGCGAAATATTCAAAAGAATCATGTATAGCGTCCCCGCGCCGCCAACTTCCTTCTTGACGCCTCCTGTTTTTTTCTGTTCATTTAAAACAACGAAAAACATACTGCTAAAAGGATATTTTTTCTAGGAAAAAAATTAAACATAAAAGCTGGCGGCCATCATGAAAAAAAGCCCGGCCGGACGTCTAGGAAAATGTGCCGGGCGGCTATTTTGGGAAAGGCCTTAATGGTATTTTTTAAATTTTTTAAATTTTTTTATTTTTTATTTTATTTATTTTTTTTTTTTTTGGGGGGGGGCTTAAAACACTCGCTGGAGATGCGAAGGTTGTGAGTTCAATACCCGAAATGACACTTCATTTTATTTTCATTTTATTTTCATAGTTTCTCCCCATCCAGGATTGAAATGGGTACGCGGTACGATGTTTCAGTTGCAGCACCAATAAACCCCTTTGGCTTCCCTAGCTGTCTCCACATTCATATGACATTTTTGTTCTTGTATTTTATTACAAATGTTTTCCTTAACTTGTACACTATGTTTTGTATTTTATATATGTTTATGATGAATGAAATAAAGATCAATTACTTCTAACGATGCGAGCGTTGATTTGGCTGGATTAGGCAAGGCTCGACACTAACAGACGCCGGAACACATGGGTGCACTTTGTCCATAATATATAAGTCTGAACCCCTGACTAACTTTTGTTTATAAGTTGCCCAAACATTGTGCCGCGCTTTGTAACCGCAAGGAAAAGGCGCTTTATCAAATATATTTTGGATTGGAGCACATGTGCGCTTTTGAAATTGTGCCTGTCAGCCAGTATATGTTTATGTACTCCCCAGGGAGTGGAACATGTACACTATTAAGACAGCTGAACAAAAAGAAAAGCTTATATTACAAGAAATATTTGAACAATCGTACTGCGTATAGACTTGCTGCATACAAAAAGTGTAGAAATAAGTTAACAAATATAATTAAATATGTAAAATATAAGTATTTCAAACATAATCTTTTTGTTTTGTAGATGCTAAAGGTGATACTAAACATGGAAAATTATAAATGGTCTTTTAGGCACAAAGTCTAAGAAAAATGAAATTCCGAGTACTTTAAAATATAATAATGAAACTATTGATAATGATACAGATATATGTGGATCTTTTAACGAATACTTTATCAATATAGGTCCAAAATTGACATTAACTCTTGATATTCCTACTGGCGCTTTTAAACAGTATCTGAAGAAAAATGAATCTACTGCTTTTTTTTAATTTTTTTTTTTTACTCCAGTCACTCCAAGAGAAATAATAAACATTGTAGATAAATTAAAGAGTAATAAATGTAGTGGTTTTGACAGTGTTGATGTTAAGATGGTTAATAAAAGAGTTATACATTTGATCTGTTATCCATTATGTGCAATATTTAATTATTCATTGCAAACTGGGATCGTACCAGATCAGTTGAAAATTGCTCAAATTATTCCTATATTTAAAAGTGGAACTAAAACTGAAATGTCCAATTATAGACCTATATCACTACTTCCAGTATTCTCTAAGATATTAGAAAGAGCTGTCCATAATCGCTTATATTCCTTTTTGAATCTGCATAATATTTTGAATAATTCACAATTTGGTTTTCGAACAGGCCACTCCACATCTTTTGCTTTAGCTGATTTTACATGCCAAGTTTCTCAAGTTTTTGATAAATCGGAAGTCATGATGGGATTGTTTTTAGACCTCAGTAAAGCCTTTGATAATCTAGATCATAATATTATACTTGCAAAATTATTCAATTACGGACTACGTGGTGTGTTATTAAATTGGTTTAAGAGTTATTTAACAAACAGAAAACAATTTGTCAAAATTAAAGGTAATATTTCGTCTATACAAACAGTTGTATGTGGAGTGCCACAAGGCTCTATTTTAGACCCGCTTTTATTTATTCTTTCTATTAATGACATGTGCAATATATCGGACAAATTTAAATATATCTTATTTGCAGACGACACCAGTGTGTTTATGTCTCATAAAAATATTCAAAGTTTACAACAGGACTTTGGTAATGAAATAAACAAGCTTTTACATTGGCTTTCTTTGAATGAATTAATTTTGAATGTTAATAAAACTAACTACATGGTATTTACAAAACAACAAAAAATAGATTTTAATGAGGTTGATCTTCAGGTGAATAATCATGAATTCCAACGTGTATCTGTAAACAAATTCCTCGGAATACAAATCGATTCTAAACTTACATGGAATGAACATACTGGTGCTGTCTCCAACAAGATCTCAAAAAATACTGGCATTCTACACAAACTTAGATTTCTACCAAAATGTGTTTTAAAAACTTTATATAATACTTTAATTCTTCCTCATTTATATTACTGTTCTGAAGTATGGGCCATGACAAGCCAAACCAATCTGAATAGGATACTCAAAATGCAAAAGAAAGCCATCCGGGTAATTTCAAATTCACACTACAGAGCTCATACGAAACCTATATTTTATAAATTAAAGCTTCTCGATATAATTGATATCTGTAAATATCATATTGCAGTCTTTATGTACTTGTGTCGAAATGAATCTATACCATGTGCACTTCTAAATTATTTTAATTTGAATTCGACTTTTCATGATTATGAAACTAGAAATGCATCTAATTTCCACTTACCACAAATTAAAACAACTTTAATGAAAAAGTCAATATCTTTCGATGGTCCAAATATTTGGAATCCATTCCAATAAATTTAAGAAATTGCCAAAGTCTTCAAACTTTTAAACGAAAATATAGAATGTATTCAATTGAATCTTACGTGCTATAACTCACCAGGCTCTTTACCCCCCCCCTGTTTTCCCCCATTTTTTCATGCTTCCAATCGTACAACATTTAATTTGCCTTTTTTTTATATTATATTATGAGGGATGGGCTCTAGCATAAGGACCATACTCCTTTTTAGCTCATCCCTTCACTCCCATTATGTTATGTTTTTTGTTGTTGTTGGATGTATGATATTTTATGTGTGATTATTCCGTATTTAATTGTATATGTCCTTGTATTTTTAATGATGAGTGGAAATAAACGATCTTGAATCTTGAATCTATTACGTGCGGAGTAGCAATTAATTCCTGCGAACGGGATAATACAAATAACTGTGATAATCACAATGTAATGATTTTAAGCATTCTACATACATGTATGTGAAAATTATCTTTAACCAATAATTTCCTTGTTTCCGTTTAATGAGTCCAGTGCTCCAAATATTCGATATGTTGGATATTATACACATCAAACTTGATCCAAACGTTTCAATTATTTCAAGTTATAGTAATGATGATGACAAATTAATAGTATCGTCACTTGCTTACTTGCTTAAGTCGGGTCAACTGCCCGAGCTGTGATGGCCTTCCACACATTCCTGTCCAGCATGGCTACTTTAACCTCTGACAGTTTTAAGTCCCGTATCCTTCTTTAGTAGGTCTGTATAGGTAAAATGAGGTCTTCCAGGTTTCTTCTTCCCGTGTTTAGGTTTCCAGAGTAGAAGCTGAGATATTGGTCCATTGGTGTTCCTACAGCTGTGGCCTGCAAATCGTAGTCTTCTTTCCCTGATCTTTTCTGATACTTTTGGTAGATTCCCGTACAGCTCCTTATTTGTCATATGCTGACTCCAGTGCACGTTGAATGCTGTCCTAAGAAGTCTGGTGTAGCAACCATCTAATTCTTTTGCCAACTTTGTTGTAACTGTCCATGCTTCACAGCCGTATAGCAGCACAGATTCAACTGTAGCAACAAACAAACGTTGTTTGAACTGCCTGGGAAGAGAAGATTTCCAGATTCTTCCAAGCTTACTACACGCTCTCCATGCTGCTGCCTTACGAGCTTTCACATCTTTTTCTGTGCTCACCACCAGTGCTCCCAGGTACTTGAAATCAGGGACATTCTCCAACTGAATTTCATCATTAGTTTTTATAGTGATGATCTCTCTGTGATTGAATGACATGAACTTGGTTTTGCCTGAATTCATCCGGAGCCCGACCTTGCCTACCGATGTCTCCACACTGCTCAGGAGTTTCTGGGCTTGCTCTAGTTCATTAGATAGCAGGGCTATATCATCGGCATAATCTAGGTCTGTTATGATTTCCGGACCAACTCTCCTACTTCTCCTTCTTTCCAGTTGGAATCCAAGTTCCTCTTCATGGCCGTCTATAGCTGTTCGCAAGGCATAATCGAGGACTATTACAAATAGGTAAGGTGCAAGCGTGTCACCTTGAAGCACACCAGCCATGATTTCAAAGAGGTCACTATTGGTGGTGATGATGATGATGATAATGCTATAATACTGATTATTATTTACTACATATTATTATTAATTATCATTATCATCACCATTGTTATTACTACCATTATTATTCTCTCTTTTCTTTTCATTATACTATTTCTGTGGCTACTTACGAGCTTCTTCTGGAGAATAGCCAAGCCTCTTGCATACACTCTGTCCAGCGTGGATGACTGGAAGGAGAGTTTTACTGACTTTTTTAAACGCGTCAGTGAACCAGCTCTGCAAGGCTACGGCTTCGTCATCAGGAGATGCAGCCTCCTCCGATAGCATCAGATTCAGCACTGCATGGTTGCCATAGAAACGAGATGTAATTAAGATAAAGCAAAAGCCCCCCCCCCCCGGGGGGGGGGGTGACAGTGAAATATATATCGCTGAGATGAAATTTGGCTGACGAGTAGAGAAAGCATAGACATTTTCATTTAAACAAAATATTTGAATGATATAAAGAGTGAGAAGTTTGGTAAAAAAACACTTGTACATCAAAGAAGCAGTCGATAGTTAGAATAATACACATTCAATGTTGAAAAACGGCGGAATAAAGGTAAAGAAGGGGCTAGATAATGAGCATTGGCACAAATTCGAAATGCTCTTTTTTGAAGACGATGTATTCGTCTTGTTCTAGTAGTAAGTTGTTTAAAGGGTCGAAAGACAAGATCATGTGTTAACGAAATATCTTAAATTCACAGGTTTTCTGACAATAGCTTAGGGAATTTCTGACAGACTTCTTAAGGGGGCGGTCAAAATTTTTCAATCATTGAGGTCCATGGCTGACTTATATACTTACAAGTGTCCATTGCATCTTGCTCTTCAAAATCGTTGGCGCACACCATACTGGTTGCCACAATAGCACAGAGAACAACAGCTACTTTGATCATCATTTTCACTTGTTTAGCTTGGGAAGCAGCTTGCAATATGTGAAAGACTATTCTGTTTGGTTAAAAAGAAAAACAAAGGAAACGAGAAATGGGAGTTATTCCAATCTTGCCGGGTCCGTGATTTCTGTGCTGAATTCCTCGAAAATGTTCGTCCTTATTTATATACTGCTAGAATATAGAAAGAATTGAATAGAGTAGAATTTTGCTACTTTCAAACTCTGAAACACCGTTGGTTTGAATTTTTCCCCCCAAAATGACAAATGTAAAACGTTTATTAGAAATCTCGTTCTGAATGGTGAAATGCAAATTTTGCATAAATTTAATTCATAATAAAACAGAGCCTGTCTCGTAAGTAGTCTCGCTGTATTGGAAATACTTTAAAAGAATGCGCCAATCTATAGATTTTTCCAACTGACGTGAGCATCAAACTTAATAAAGTATATCAATAGACTTGTCCCACAACTATTGAAATGTGCGAACATAACAACGATGCGTTACGTAATCCGGACCTGATTTGACTCATCCACAGGACCACAACACCTCTACATGATTGATATCTTCCTACACTGATACACGATTGTAGTCCGAAGACTAATAATATAATGATTATAATATACAATGGGAAACATAACAAATCAGGCGTAAAGATTAAACATCAAAGATATGAATTAAAAGTTATTAAACCTATAAGGCAGATTGTAAAATATATGCATTGTATTGGTGAATAATAAAGAAACAAGTAATATGCCATTTAAACGAAGCAAGGTTTGGAAGTGGGCCAAAAAACATGTTATCGAAAAAAAAAAATCGGTTTAAAAGTTCTGAAATAATAGTCTACCAAGTAGAAAACTGATGCTTACCAATCTGATGAGAGAGTTCTGAAGGCAGCTTGTTGCGGGCGAGTTCAGCTCCTGAATTGATGACTCGAACCGATTATGGCTTCCCTTTTATGGAATTATTCCTCGCCACTTTCCTCTTCTGCCCTCTTTGATCATTATTGTTCGCGTATAATGATTGATAGGACCGATGGGGTTGGCCAGATGTTTTGATAACTGATAACTTAAGTTTATTTCGATTTGAAAGACTTTGTATTCAATGAGAAAAAGAAATAAAGATATATGCTGGGCGGATCATTGGAAAGTAGAATTAATCATTCTATCTCTTGTTCAACTATACTTCTTTATTAGGCTATAGATACACACGAACTTAGAAGTCATCAAGATCGGTTACATATCTTTTTTTCCCCAAAGATTTCCGAAGGTGAATATTTGCCAAGATCATTTAGTCCAAAAGTTTATCAATCTGAAGGTTTCTTATTCAAAATGAATTTTTGGCATGGTGGCTCAGTGGTTAGAGCGCCCGCCTCATGAACAGGAGGTCGTAGGTTCGAACCCAGCCGAGTCATACCAAAGACTTATAACAATGGGGCCTTCTGCCTTCTAGCTAGGCGCTCATCATATTAGATTGGAGAAGGGTAGTGATATTATGTTATGCAGGGCCCGCTGGAAGAGCAGTTTCATAACTTAAGTGGCTACCCTGGGTAAATGAAACGTTTTTATTATATTATTATAAAAGGTTTGTAGTTCCAAAAATTAAAAGGGTTCATGATTCTGAAGGATTTAGCGAACCTTCGGAAATGTGAGCTATCTATAATAGTGTTTAGCGTTAAATTCTGTATCATATGCGAGGGAGCGTAGCAACCGGGGGAGTATGTTAAAATAATTACAAAGAGAGTTAGAGTGAGAGGCAGAGGTGCGAGGGAGAGAGGGGAAGAGGGGAAGAGGGAAAAAGCGAGATAATAGAGAGGAGAAAGAAGAGAAAGAAGAGAGACAGGGGAGTGACAAAATAGAGTTCTTCTTGAGATTAGAATATTTGAAATTGCATCCTATCATTATATTAATTTTCCTGCTTATTTCTTTAGAAAGAAGAAAATCAATGAGGATAACGGATTGGTTGAAGTACGAATTTAGTTTAGACTGAATTTGTATACACCACTTTCATGACAAGACATGCAAAAGACAAAGAATGCAATAATAGATTTCTTACAAGCCTATATAGTCAAGACAATAACATAGGAAAATTAATGGGGCGGCAGAGCGTATTTTTCAAATTGGGGGGGGGGGGGCACCATTAAACAATTTTAAAAGGGCACTCTTTGGAAGACCTACAACGAGAAACATCAAAGCGATATATGTATATATCCTAAAGCGTAATTAATACATTACCAGGGATGATTTTCAAGATTTACTCTTTACTTGGTCAAAGATATTGCTTTAGCACCATACTGTGCTGTTGTGTGTGATGGTCTAAATATTCATTTGCGAGCGAGCGAGGCAAGCGACGAAACACTGTAAGGTTTTTGAGGTCACATTACGAACGATTACTTTTCATTATTAGACGAACTTCTCTAGATGGGGTTTTAAACACAATCTCATAATAAAATAATAAATAAGACCTTCAATGTGCTTCTTAATGAGATAAACTATAATTGTGTGGGAGCAAGGCGAGCGAGTTTTGAAGGAAAAACTGCTCTCAGTCGCTTTGAATTAGGGGCAAATGTTAGGGAGGCAATGTAAAGTCTATTGTTTCTGCGAAGATGAGGGATGATAACAACTTCTTGTCATATAACACGTATCGTTATTATGTCTCGGTCTTTTAAACATGAATGACATTTGGTAATGGAAATACATTTGAGTTGAGTTTGACAATCAAAAGTGGTCTAAAATTATATGGTCAATTAATTATATTGGCCTAGGCAATACCTTTAAAAAAAGGAGCACGGATGTATTTCTAAAAGGGGCACACTTCGTTCTTATGAAATGAAGGACATTGTGCCCCCTGCCCCCTCCCTCCTTTCATTGTAGTTGAAGAAAAACATTTCCAGTTATTACACAAAGCTGCTCCGATTCTTTGAAAAATAGAAGGTGCAATAATTGGCTCAGTAGGGTTCGAAACCAGGTCGATGCGCTAGTGCCCTTTGATAAGGCATTGGTCCTTATTACCAAGTCCCTCGGAGATGATAAGCCATCGCCCAAAGCATTATCCAAAGCATAAACATGCTTTTCTAAAGGTCACTTTAGATGATCGCAAAAGGGCACAATTTGTAAGCAGCAGTGGGAAATGTAGGTAAAAAATGAGGGGCACTCATCAAAGGCCAATCACATCAAAAGTAAGAAGGAAACTAATCAGATGTGCAAAGTCGCATTTATTAGAAGGGGAAAGGGCAGTTATTAGAAAGGGAAAAATTGACACTATCAGAAGGAAATTGGAAATTTCTCATACCTAAAAGAAGCACTCATCAGAGGTGGAAAGGGGCACTTCTTTGATGGTAAAATGCACTTAATACAAAAGGAAAAGGGCACTTGTCAAAGTAAAAGAGAGAATTTATCAGATCTGGATCGGGCACTTATCGGAGTTGAAAAGACGACATTTTTAAGAAAGTGAAAGGGACACTTATTAGAGGAGAAGATGGCGTGTGTTAAAGTAAAATAGACACCTTTCAGAGTTAAAAAGGGGGCACATCTTACACCTGAAGAGGGGCACTTATAAAGAGGGGAAAGGGTCATTTATTAAATTGAAAAAGGGGCACTTGTCAAAGTAAAAGGGGTAATCTATTAGATTAGAATATCAAATAATAATGTATACACTTATGACCTCGACAAAATAATGGTTATAATATGTGTTTGAGTTCTCCCTTTACAGCGGCGCCAGTCATCCATCAACAAACACTGAACACGCATACGATCTTTCCTCTGACTTGGCCAGACAAAATGATGAATGTCTATGCGTGCGAAAGTCATCCCGTCCGGGCCTCCCTTTACAGCGGCGCCACCCATCCACCAACAAACAACCCGCATACGATCTTTCCTCCGACTTGGCCAGACAAAATGATGAATGTCTATGCGTGCGAAAGTCATCCCGTCCGGGCCTCCCTTTACAGCGGCGCCACCCATCCATCAACAAACAACCCGCATACGATCTTTCCTCCGACTTGGCCAGACAAAATAATCAATGCCTATGCGTGCGAAAGTCCTCCCGTCCAAGCCTCCCTTTACAGCGGCGCCGCCCATCCATCAACAAACAACCCGCATACGATATTTCCTCCGACTTGGCCAGACAAAACGATCAATGCCTATGCGTGCGACCTTGAGAATATATCCGGCTTCACAAACGGGTAGACTTGGGTGAGGTTTCAAACTTTTCCGCACTCGGATTTCATCAAAGCAATCCATTAGTTAATAAAATACTACAATACTATGTTGGTTATACCCTAGCTTTATATTGTTCATTGTAAGCTTCATAAGAAAAAGACAGCTTTAATTTGTAGGTCATGGAATGTATTATGTTTTTAATAGTTTGTATATATCATTTCATTTATTTATGCAGTTCTGAATACATAATAAAAATTAAAATACTGTTGTAAAATTGCATTTAGTAAGCCAAATTATTGTACCCTATTTCGCGGACGCGTAAGTTCATACGTGTCTTGGATGCGCTTACGCGTCCGTCCGTCGGCAACCTCTCAAAGACGTGCCTATAAGAGTCCCGGGACACGGGCCGTCTCTTCATTCTGGATTCTGCTGAGCTGTTGTACACACACACTTACTCCAGGATCACTAGTTTCCCGAATCATGGACTCTCGGTTCACCTCAAGACCCGGGAGTTAGCATGTTAGCTGAGCATCTTCAGCTATGCTGAGCCTAGCTGAAGGACAAATAGAGATAATATAAGGTTAGTTTATTGTTTAGTCGGTGTCTTGTCTTGTCTTCTTCATTACATCCATTTCACCGCACCGTAAGTAAAAGTACGGTGGTAACTCCGCCATTATTCATCACAGCTATATTCCACTCACCACCCGTTTTTACTTCAATACATTGAAAGATAATTTATGTGAAGAAATATAAACCTATTTTAAACAGAACTAGGTCCTGTTTTTTATTTTAATGAATTGATATTGTAATATTCTTCCAACTTCAGGTTGAGGCCATTGTTGAGAATTACACACAAGAAAGTTGGTTGGTGAATGTTGGGTAAATTTTCCTGAACATTTTAGACAGTAATCTTATAATTTGAATTGCGGCATCAAGACCTCTGATTGTAATTAGGCCAAATATAACAAATTACGTATTTTTTGTCCCCGCCCGCACCAATCTTTGGTGGCGCTTCAATATTTTTGTTATTTTCAAAAATTCCTTGTTTGTTTTTGTATTTAAATAGAAATCATACTTGAAGTCAAACAAACAAACAAAATAAACAAACTTGTCGATATAGAAATGTGTGCTTGTAAAATGTAAGTGTGCAGCAGCAAATAGTTTTTACACCTTGTTTATTTAGAAAAAGAAATCAGCTGTGTGCTTATATTACAAATGCTTTGGTGCTACTTTATTTATCTAATTTATATGTATTTTTAGTTATAAAAAAAGGGTTACATCCTATAAAAAGTTCTATGAGCAGTAATTACAAAAACTAACAGATGCATTTTAAACTCGCTGTAATATGAAGAAAGTATTTTTAATTCAGGTTTGCTTGATACTACATAATACAAATGTGGTTGACCAGTATACGGCTACATACCGCTAAAATTATCTTATTTCAAAGAAAGGAAAGTTCTTTGCATACAATTCCACTATTAACCAGTGCATTGTGCAACTATTCCTTTTGATACTGCTCCCTTATTCTAATGTACTGCATTCCATGGCTACAATATGACATAATTTAAAAAATGAATTAACACACTTTCTATTGATACCAAACAAAGTGATGATCATTGAGTTTCCAAACTTTTATGAGGGGTTTATACTATGCTGATGTCCCAATGTCACAAGGTATTATTTGAACAAAATTCATCTGGCTTATTTTATGTAGTTAAATTTGGCCAAATTGCCACCCAGGGCTCAAATTAATTTTGTGTCCACTGGGGCTCTTCTTCCCCCAAAAGAGCCCCCGATTTTTGTTGTTGCTATTTTGAACCCCCGTAAGACAGTGATGTTTTCCTGACATCTACTAACATGCGGAGCATTTTGGGGGTGCTATTTTGAACCCCCATAAGTGATGCTTTCCTGGCATCCACTGACATCTATACTGTGTAGGTCTGGACACATGATGGCATTTTTCTATCACATTTTCACTTGGCAGCCCAATTAAAGGGGAGGGGGGGGGGTAGGAGGGTTAAACCCTTAAACCGCCTAGATCCGCCCCTGCAACATCTTTGGTCTTGTTCTTCTCTATATTGATTTACTGGTCGAGGTACATAATTTGCTGGTCTTTTAGAATCACCAGATATCAGAGGATTCACACTTTTCGCAACGAAAAACTTCTGCATATTTCAGTCTTTGCGTGATCGTCTCCAGCTTCAGCAGATATTGGGCGTCAGCGTGCAAACCTTTTTGATTCTCCGGATGACTACTTTAAAATTAAAACAGCCAGGATCTGGACTACATAGGCTACCTTTACATCTATCTGGCAACATAACTGTCTATTTATCTATCTATTCATCAATATATGAACCGAAGTAACCTTCGGAGACCGGTCATTTCTTTATGTTGCCTCTAGATTATGGAATAGATTACCACAAGAAATAAGAAAGGCTCCACCACTTGATAATTTTAAATCTAGACTGAAAACTCACTTGTTCATATTATATAATAGTTTGTATATCACAGCATTTACGAGCTCTTGCAGCGCAGTAGAATATGTCCACATAGTTATTGCGCTTTACAAATGAATATATCATATTATAATATCATAACATGTTTGTGTTTTCAAATGGGCAGGTTGAACCCAGACAGATCAAACAAGGATCTCAAGGAATTCTTCAACCATTGTCCAATTTCCGATAGTCCTGAGGTGAGAAAAACAAAGTCCGACGGACGGTCAGACGGTCTAAAACTCAAATTTAGACCCAACAAGAAAAAATATGAGATGTTTTGTTTGTTTGTTTGTCTGTTTGTGTGTGTTTAAGAGGATTAGAAGGGCACTCAGAAATTATGATAATAGGCCTATTTTCAGATTTGATAGATTTTCCGGACTTGCGTCCCTCTTCCTTTTACTAGAGATTGACGGGTCAGCCTCTGAAACGTGTTTCAGTGCTTGAAACAGAAAAAACTAATTTTCTTGTGGTGGAGAACTTCAATTAAAAAAATGGCCAACAGAACTGAAAGAACCATGTTCTTATATTACAAAATATAGTACGTAGTATATGAAAAACAATACATACATTTAAACTGAATATATAGTACATAATATATAGTACATGATAAATAATATATAATAAATAATATATGATATGTATACATAATAATTATATAACATTTATCATATAATACATGTATATAACATAATGCACAATAGATAATAAATAATAGATCACGGACAAATTTACTTGATGTTTGTGTTCTCAGATGTATCCAGAAAAATCGTTGCCAGAATTTCAAAAATCCATGTCAGACCTCTTCAATGCCGCCATTCCTCTTAATAACAGAGTGCTAGAGATCATGGCAAGGGGACTCAACCTGGAGGTGGGTTTTAAAATCCCACTGTACTACTTATAGCTACTTGCGCCCTCTCTGTAGCAGACGGGCTTTCAACAGTGACGTACTGCTACTGTCTAAAATAGCGTTTTGTTGCTATTGTCCGAACAATGCCAGTACTGATTATAATAATAATAATGATATTGATAATAACAATAAATAAAATGATGATATTGTTGATGATGACAATACTAATAATATTAATACTAAAAATGATAATGGAATTGATAATAATAATAGTGATAATAAAAAATATAATAATAGTAAAAATAATACTGATATTGATAATAATAATAATGATGATGATGATAACAATAACAATAATGATAATAATGATAATAATAATAATAATTTTAAAAAAAGTAAAAAAAACTAAAATAATAATAATGATGATAATATTCTCTCCCTAGGACCAATTTTATTTTGTGGAGAGACACAGTTGGGTGGGAACAAAACGGAGCCAGACCGCACTGCGTAGCTTCTATTACCCCTCCCTGGCCGACGTCAAGATCAAAGAAAACCAGGTCCGATGCGGGGAGCATTGGGACTATGGAGGGATTACTATTCTGTTCCAGGACAAACAATCGGGTCTGGAGGTATATAAGGATGAATGAAATAGGGGTGGATTAAGAATTTTGTAGTTGGTGATGATAATGATGATGATAGTGACGATGTTAATGATGATGGAGATGATGGTGGTGATGATGATAATGATGTGATGATGATGATGATTGTGATGATGATGATGCAATGATGTGATGATGACGATGATGTGATGATGATGATGATGATGATAATGATGATTGTGATGTGGTGGTGATGATGATGTGATGATGATGAAGTTGTGATGTGATGGTGATGTGGGGATGATGAAGCTCTGATGATGGTGATGATGACGATGATGTAGTGAAGACGATATTGATGATGAAGGTGATGATGATGTGATGATGGTGACGATGATTATGATAGTGATGAAGATGATGGTGATGATGATGATGGTGATTTAATGGTGATTATGATGATGATGAAGGTGATGATGCTTATGATAGTAATTATGGTGATGATGATGATGGAGATGATGAGGATGATGATGATGATGATGATGATGATGACGATGATGGAGATGATGATGATGATGATGATGACGATGGTGTGATGATGATGATGATGATGATTATGATGTGGTGGTGATGATTATGATGACCGTATATTGATGATAAAGGTGATGATGAAGGTGATGATGATATTGATGATGAAGGTGATGATGAGACGGTGATGATGATGATTATGATAGTAATGATGATGAAGGTGATGATGAGATGCTGATATTGATGATGAAGGTGATGATTGATAAGATGGTGATGATGATGAAGATGATAGTGATGATGATGTGATGGTGATGATTATGATGACCGTACATTGATGATGTAGGTGATGATGATTGTGATAGTGATAGTGATGATGATGATGATGAAGGTGATGGTGTTGATGGTGATGATGATGAAGATGATAGTGATGGTGATGTGCTGGTGATGATTATGATGACCGTATATTGATGATGAAGGTGATGATGATTGTGATAGTGATCGTGATGATGATGATAGTGATGATTGTAATGATATTGGTAATGATGGTGACGATGTGTCCATTGTATGCGAAGCTGAATTATATATATGGCTACGCACTGTTGGCAGGTTGACCATGAGATGGCGCTGTGGAACAAGCGGTACACGATGGCAGAAAATTCATCAGTTTAGTGTTGCTTTAAAAACTAACTTTATTTTCATTATTGCAAAGTTGAAACTTTGATTCGACAAGGTTAACAAAATTCAATGCTTGGAAACATTCGAAGTAATGATTATTATAAATTACAAAACGCTTAAAAACAGCCCCGGCATAGCACCTGAAGAGCTCTCCGAACGCTGCTGAGATATGTAACATCACAGTATGGACATGATTTGCACAAGCAGACGATGTCCCATGACATCTCACACATTTTCAGTGCCTGTGTTTCATCTTTTCTTGAGTTCTTTCTCTTACTTCACTACCGTCAGGCTAAATGTATAATCTATTGCCTCACTCTAAACCCCGCGCATGGTTTTATTTTGATGACAAATGCAGCGATACAAAAAAAAAGGAATCTGTCGCTTGTAAACAAAATAAGACGCCATTGTATATTCAGCTGCACACACCGCTGTATGTTCGGCGTTTCAAGAGGGAACAAATGCCGTCCTTAATATCATTCCGGGGGGTTTTCAATTTGAAAGTCTGGTTTCTTTGATTGTTAATTAACCCCTATTCTGTGTATTTACAAGCAAAAGATTTTAGTTATCAGAATCGGTCATATCCCCTTTTGAATGTTCTGACATGCCATTACATTTATATACACTAAACTCATTATAATTTGACAAATAATAGCTTTGCAATTATGTTCATTCTTTATTAGATGTCGTCTGCTAGGCAGTATTGGTTCATATAGTGACGTCGTTAAAACATCGTTATTTTTCCGGCTAATCTCTCGTATATCCCAGCTGCTATGGAGGTGGTTGTATTTGTATTTTTTATAAATGCCTTAAAAGTGCATGATTATTGCTCTTAATCTTATCTATGACATTTCCAGTGCCCTTTTAGGACCTAAAATTGCTATGAAGGTTATTTTAGACCCCAAAAATTTGCAAATTTAGCCAATACGATCCTACCAATTCAAGTCTACGTTGACCTTGAATTCAATAATTAATTAATTAATTATAACAATACATGGGCCGGCTGGTTGTGCGTAATATAAAGCCAACATCGGCATTGGCAGAACTACAACGTAAAAGGCGCTATTTCGTTTTTCCGACGGCTTTTTCAAATTATCTAATATTTGTGGTGGTACACAAATATTAGAAATCGTTATATTTATGGATATTTCAGCCGTCTCTGAACAGATTTTGATCAAACAAAGATGATTTTGTCATTAAAATTGTGTTTTCTTTCAAATTTGACACTCAGTTTTTCATTATCTCACAAAAAATATTTTGTGTAGCGCCCTCTGCAACAGAACTCAACTATCCCTTTAACCTTGAGGTACTAATGCCAAATCATCAAAGCCTCTCGAGCCAATCATTTCACTTTTTTTGGTTTGGTTTAATAACACTTGATTCAGAGCCCTTTGCATGATGACATCACGTTTGATGATAGAATTATTTAAAAATAAAATAGGCTACTTCTAAAGCCTTTTCCTCCAACCTCTCCCTTTCCTATCTCTCACCCTCCTTCACTCTCTCTAATCATCTATCTCTCTCTCTCTCTCTCTCTCTCTCGGTCATTTTCACTATCCCTGGTTTGTGTGTGTTATTGTTGCTCTTTCTTTTCATGTTTAATGTTTAATTCATAGCATTCTGGATCAAATAATTATACACACAAAAAACGTCAACAAAAGTCAGGACACTTTGCTACTATAGGCTACTATAGGCTAATATGCACACATATTAAAGCGATGTAATATGTAATTCAAACATGGTTCTTTAGGATTCAAAATTAAAAGAGTAATGAAAATACCCTTGAGACACCTGACATTTCCACCGTCTTCTGTCTTCGTTCTTAACCAGAAACACCGCGTGATGATTCCTGCGGATCATATCGACCTTGACCGACAGTCCATCGCTTTCTTCGGAAACCCCGACAACGACGCTGTCCTCGAGTGCATCGACCAGTCCAACAAGTACCCTCCGACCACGATCATTGACCTGCTCAATATGAAGTACGAGCAGACAACAACGAAGAAACCGAATTCCAGGACCTACTGAAGGACAAATAGCTTCCATGTTGGTTTGGTTTTCGTTTCAATGATTCTCAAATAATTATATTTTAATAGAAACCAGGGGTGCTCATTGCCGTTGATTTAGTGAAAACGAAGTGAGTTTCCAATCATAGATTGTCCTAAATGTATTGTATAAGAGACTCATTGACAACAAAATGTGTGTCTGTTATAGCGCCACCCATTGTTAGACGTGTTTGAGCCTTTTGTGTATGTTGAGTCTAAATGTAACACTTCTATTGGGGTTCGATCTTTTGGTATTTCTTTTTATTCAGATAATATTTCTATGGACATGAAGTGTAGATCGTGGTGAGATACAGGCACGTAGACACGGGGAGGGGCACGGGGGGGGGGGGGGGAAACTAACAACTTACCCCCCAACAAATTTCCAAAATCGATTGAACTTTTTTAGACCCCTCCCCAGGACTTCGATCGATTACATGTATGTGCCCCTCCCAAAAAACCATCAAACTCTGGCTACGATAGCATACTTTGTCAAATGTAAATTATTTGTTATTTGTCCCAGGAGAGGAGAAATGGAGTTATTCAGATGATGGGGTCGTTAAATATCGTATCTCATTATATTACGTATTCCGATCATTCTTTGGCAAAACTTTCAGGCCCCCCTAACACAAGAATAAGTTAGAAATCGCTCATCAATCGCACAATCAATTCATATAAACATGCACCATTGGTTACTAAGCTGTTAGGAAAGAAGAAAGCTGCAAAAAAAAACCATGGATATCTCGAGGGATCATGAAATTTATTCGTGTAAAATATACAATGTATTCAAAAGTTATAAAATCAAATCATCGACAGGATCTTGTTGATAAGTACAAAAAATGACCACTCTGCTAAAAAATGCAAAAAGAAAGTACTATTGCGATTTGTTACAAAATAATGTGAAGGATACAAATAAAACATGGGCCATTATCAATGAATTGTTAGCTGGAAAAAACAGATCACCGAGAAGCGCTGAAGTGGACAGACTAATTAAGAAGGTTCATGGAGAAAATATGCAACTTACATCTCAATCTGATATTGTGAATGAATTTAATGACTTTTTTGTAAATATTGGACCGAATTTAGCAGATGAATTGCCGAATACAGATGTAGCATATGGTGATTTCTTGGGGCAGAATATAGAGCAATCTTTATTTTGGAAACCAATAACTGCAGTTGAAGTTAAGAGTCAAGTTCTGCTACTTGATACCAAAAAGGCTTGTGATCACGATAACATTCCAGTGCAATTAATTAGAGATAGTGCTCCATATATTTCACATCCACTGGCATATATATTTAACTTGTCATTAGAAACTGGCAAGGTTCCAGATGAAGTAAAGATTGCAAAGGTTACTCCCCTACACAAAAAAGGGCCAAGAGAAGATCCAGGTAATTATAGACCAATATCGGTTTTACCTGTCATCGGTAAAGTTTTAGAAAAATTGATAAATATCAGATTAAAACAGTTTCTAGAAAAAAAATATATTCTATTACCATCAATATGGATTCCGAAAGAAATATAGCACTAAATTGTCTTTGATCAACTTGATAAATTCAACTTTGAAATCTATAGATCAGGGAAAAGTAACTCTGGGTATGTTCATCGACTTTAAAAAAGCATTTGACACAATTAATCATAATATATTACTAGGTAAACTATCTAGTTATGGCATTCGAGGATTACCTCTAGAATGGGTTAAGGATTATCTCAGTAACCGATTTCAGTTTGTCCAGTATAGTCAAATGTTATCAGAAAGGAAAACGATAAGACGTGGTGTTCCACAAGAAACAGTATTAGGGCCAACTCTGTTTTTAATCTATATTAATGATTTGCCAACTGTTACTGATTATTTCAATTTTCGGCTATTTGCCGATGACTCCAATCTATTTCATACTTTTTCTGCTGACCAGGGTGAAATTGATGTAAATGAAGTGAATAACAACATACAGAAGATACATATGTGGTGCACTGCTAACAAACTTACAATCAATTCAATGAAAACTAATTTCATGTTAATATGTAGTAGGAGGAAAAAAATAGGTATAAATGGTAAACTAAAAATCGCTGGCGAGAAAATTAAAGAGGTTGATGTTGCCACTTTTGTTGGGGTTCACATTGATAGACATTTGTCTTGGAAGAGTCATATTCGTTTTGTAAATCAGTGTATTAGAAAGAAAGTTGGAGTGCTATTTAGATTGCGACATTTTGTTCCTAGCCGTACTTTGATATTATTATATAAAGCATTTATACAACCACATATTTCTTACGGAATAGAGGTGTGGGGAAGCACTTATAAGACTAGTCTAGCCTAAGAAGTATATTATATTCACAGAAAATGGCAGTTCGTGCCATAACATTTAGTGAATGGAGAACTCCTTCAGATCCATTATTTAAAAGATTGCGAATCCTAAATGTGTATAATTTACATGAGTTATCAATTTCTACTTTCATGTTTGATCTAGTCAATGGCAATTTGCCTCATATTTTGATAGAGTATTGTGACATTATAGAACATAGCTATTCCACAAGACAAAAAGAAGATGGACAATTACGTCTTCCAAAATTAAGAATGACACAAGGTCAATTTTCATTGTCTTTTGTGGGCAGTGAATTTTGGAATAGATTACCTGTTGATGTCAGACTGACAAGGTCTAGAAGTAGGTTTCGGAATTATGTTACAAGTCATTTGATGAATAAGTCATGAATGAAATATCAAGTGTACACAATTCATAATTCATATTTTACATTATTAGTTTGTATATTGTAAGACATTGTTGAGTACTAATTCTTGTTTTGTCTAAGTATCGATTGTAACAGTAAATTCATTATTTTTTGTTTTGTTACGTTCTCTAAACTGATTTGTAACAAAATACTTTGTTTAGCTGTTGAAGGGGTTAGGCTCGACTAGCAAATGTGCTATTATCTGGCCTCTTTTACCAACCAATAGTTTCTCTTTCTGTATATGTAACTATTACATAAAATGTATGGAATGTATTGCTGTTGGTAAATAAATCAAATCAAATCAAATCAAATATCCTTTGCGTTAAAGGCCCTGATTAGGGTTGAGTATTAAATACATTTGTGTTTTTGTTTAAAGTCAAGATCTAAATATCTCTGTGTTCTACCCATGTTTGCATGAAATGGAATTTATATTTTGTCCAATGTATTTCAATTGTTTGGAGTGAGTACATTTTCTAATGATTATATTTAGTGATGGCTGATGTTCCTAACCACCTGTCTTAACTGGTGAATGTCAGATATCAAGAAAGGTGAATTCAGTTTAACGACAGCATTTGATGAATAAAGCAAGTTTGGGGAGATGGAATGAGGCACTTGTAGCCATAAGGTATATTTTATATTCATGTTCTATTTATTATCACGTACGACTAAGCAAGAAATTAAATTTGTGTACAAATGTACGCTAAATATACACACTATACATAGTCATGATTGTGTTACAATGATACAGAGTAATGCCAAATAACACAAATATCGTGTTTCTCGTCCGGCTTTAAAAAAAAGGAGGAGGCAGGGCATCACTATTTACTATTCTGCAATTTCTTTGCCATTTTTTTCAAGATGGCTGCCATAGAAATTAAAGCTGACCGAGCCTATTAATTCACAGATATTGTGCTATGTGAGTATAATGATGCAATGAATGACAAAACAAATGATTTGTATCACTTTAGAAGCTATTTAAACAAAATGTATATCACAGGCCTTTTTTGTTTGTTTGCCCTTTCACCTGAATATTATTTTTTGTAAAGGAAGCGGCGGCCAAAAAGGAGGGAGGCGGGGACGAGAAACACTTCATTTTTGTTATTTGGCCTTATGTAGATTGCAGATAGACAAAATATTAAGTAGCCTCCTACCAGTCCCTGTTCTTACAGTTGTAGTCAGTAGCGTACGCAGGATTTTTTCAAGGGGGGGGGGGGGGGGGGGGGGGGGGGGGGGGGGGGGGGGGGGGGGGGGGGGGGGGGGGGGGGGGGGGGGGGGGGGGGGGGGGGGGGAGGGCCGAAAATTTCGAAAATTTCGCAACGACTCCGTCATTTTATTTTTTGGTCTCGAAAATTTCTCAACGACTCAGTCAGCCGCTGAATAAGCAGGGGGGGGGGGGGGGGTTAGGGGTAGAGGACATATTTTTTAAAATTTGTTTTGGTCCTAAAATTTTGAAAAGTCATCCATTAGCATATATATTTATTTTTTTTATAAATTAAACAAACAAAAAATCAAAGGGGGGGGGGGTTGATCCAAAATACTCACACAAAAAAAAACGAGGGGGGGGGGGGGGGGGGGGTTCACCTCTTCCCAGGACTTAACCTTCTCTTTAAGTCTATATGTGCAAAGCAATTACCCCCCCCCCCCTCCCTTATCATGTCGCAAATGTATTTCATTTGGGGAATATTTGCTTGGACGCATAACAAAAATTTTAAGCTGTAACATTTGACTTATTTAACAAACAAAAAATATATGTATTTTCATTTATAACATTGTCGAACATACTGTATCAAGTCTTTACAAAAATAAAATACTGCATGTCAAATTCTTCAATTAACTGTTTTAAGTAAACTGTTTGTATAACAAACCCGTTCAGTCACACGCCTTGTAAATATATATATATATATATATATATATATATATATATATACTTAGATTTGGTCTATTAGTCCATTAGTCTGCCTTATCCAATATATATATATATATATATATATATATATATATATACCAACAGTTTGGAGATTATTTGAACGCTTCCTGTTTAAAACTTAAATATTGATGTTTTAAATCAACCAAAATCAGCTAATCAAAACCAAAAATGAATAATTTTGCAAAGCTCTGGTGTATGTGCAGTGAAATCCTGAATAAAACCCTACTGTTTTGTGCCTATCGTTCAAGTCGGTACTATAAGTTCTCACTATTGTCGATTGTATAATTTGTATTGATTAACTTTAATTCGATTTGAATTGTATTTTCTGCAGTGTTAAATTGACAAATTCAAAGGGATTGTAAACTTCTCCAATTGCGTGAAATGATAATAAATTGTCATTGTCATTGTCACTACGCTCTGATATGAAAGAAAAGCGTATTACACCTAACGTCATCATGAAGAAGAAAAAAAAAACACCGAGATTTTACCGTGTTATTTTCTAAAGTGCCTACAAAATGTGCTGATACATGCCCCTGAGGGCCGGGCCGGAGGCGCCGTGTTGTGGTGCTCAAGGTGCTGTAGAGGAGCTCTATCCCAAGTCTGAAGTATAGCAACACCCATACATATGATTGGTGTTCTTCTTCTTCTTCTTCTTCTTTTCTTCTTCTTCCTCTTCTTCATCTTCCTTTCTTTCTTTTCTTTCTTGAATTTTCCCTTCTCTTCTTTTCTTTTTGCTTGTTCACTTTCTTTCATTTCATTCTTATATTTTCATTTCCAGGCATTGAAACAAGAACAAAACCAAAACGTGCAACGACAAAGGAAGTATGCTTGCTTGTTCTCATGAAATTTTGGAGTAACGAGGCACAGCTCTGAACCTCCGATACAAAGAAAATGTTGTTCCCAGGTCAGCCAGGTGACTGTACTAATACTATCGACCAAGAAAATAAACCTTTCCGTAAAACTGTCAAGGTTTCGTCATAAGAGGTACCTGCTACAACTATCAACCTTGGTAACCGGATTACGACACACACACACTTGAAATTATAATGATAATTAAAAAGAAAAACTACTTGTGGCAAGTGAAGTATACTAGAGTTGATTATATTACCTCCGAGGTTAACACCCCGGCCATGGATGTCCATCGAATCTGCTCGTAGCCAATCTGACGTAAGGAGTTCTTAGTAGCTGTTAACAATTATCGTATCTTCTTATTGATAACAATTTTTTTCCATGAAACGTGGCCTAAGCTTTTGGTCCAAACATTTTTATTGGTCCGTGCTAATGAGACATGGGCGTGATATTGATATTAGCCCCGCCTACTACAGTTTCTTCTAAGTGTGACATTTTCCCGCACTGATTGGATTGGTCCGTAAGGAAGCGATATGGGCGTAACCATAATGTTTCCCAAATCGTGTGCGAAAATTAAGATTTATTTAATTAGTGCTCATCCTTTGCTTATCATTCATTGGTGTACTCACCCAAGTTTGCTGATTGCAAGGTAAGATTGCTCTAAACTGATATCGCCTTCTTCGTTTTTTCGAAAGATCCACCCAGTGGCGGATCCAGGGGTGGGCCGAAACGGCCGCGGCCCCCCTATTGGCGAAGCAAAAAAATTGAGAAGGAAAAAAGAGGAAGAAAAAAGAAGGGAAAAAAAGGGGGGAAAAAGGAGAAGATAAAAGAAAAGAGAACAAAAAGTAAAGAAAAGAGAGAGAGTTCAAAAAAGAGGAAAGAAAAAGAAGAGAGGAGCCGGTGAGAAAGCAAGACAACGAAATGGCACTAAAAATTAGTGACAGTAACGACGAATAAGGAAAGACAAGGGGAAGGGGTGCGTGAAGGCGGATGCATTAAGGGAGGGGGGGGGGGTGACTGGCCGTATTCTTATTTTTAGGTTATGCGAAACTGAGTCGAATTATGCTTCTTTTCAAAACAATCTTAGCATGCTTTTTTATGTTAAGCCGGAGTGCATGAAAAGGTTAGTGTAGAAACACTTCTGAAAAGGCCGCGCCCGGCCCCTCCAAAAAACGGCAGAATGGTAATCTATAAATTATGGGGTCATTCTTGATGGCTTGGGAGTCGTTATTAAAAGAGGGGGCCCGGCCCTACTCAAATGGTAGTGACGGTAACGATGGATAAGGCAGAGGGGGGGGGGGGGGGGGGGGGGGTCGAACCCCCCTCAAATTTTTGTCAAGTTGTCAAGTTGGTCCTGATGTGTATAATGCGTAGACCAGGGGTTCTCAAACTTTTTCTTTGACGTCCAGAAGCGATTTCTATGAAAGCTGTAAGGTCCGAAATGACACTTGTATACTGAGATAATGAGGCTTGTTTTTGGTCTATATCTGATCCAAGGAGAATTGTTACAGTTTTAAAAAAAACAGAACCGCCAGTGCTTCCACTCGTTTAAATAGAGTTTCCTGAAAAAGAACACCCAATATCCTGAATTTGAAAGAATTTTCTTAAAACATTCAAAATGCCTCTTACGTGGATTTCTTATTTGGATGAATCGCTATGACGTTTTAATATGTATCAATTATTGAGTGGGCTTATTTTGCTTTCTAATGGATCCATACAACGTGGCAGAGCTTGAGGGGTCTGGTAGAGCCTTTTCAGAAAGAATTGTCTTTAGGAGAAAAAATGAGGTTATTTCTAAAATGAAATAAAAGGGTTATTGACTTTCAAGAGAGAAAATTGTCTATAAGAGAGGAGGAGAGGTTATTTCTAAAATGAAATGAAAGGGCTCTTGTCAAATAGCCCTTTCATTTCATTTTTTCTCTCGAAATAAACTCTCTTTCTCTCTGATAGACAATTTTATGAGATGGAATCTTCAATCTGAAGCCTTTTTGTGCTCTTTGAAAATGGCACACTGAATGGGGGCAGTGCATTTAAATTTCAAGGGATGGATTAGAGTTTTTATCGCTCTTGAAAGTCAAATAGCCCTTTCATTTCATTTTAGAAATAAACTCTAATACATTCCTTGATATTTAAATTGCGCCGCCCCTATTGTGTCCTCTTTTTAAAGAGCAAACAGAGCCCTCAGATTAGGCAGCAAGTAGCAAAACAAACCCGTAACACTGGAACACAACATTCATGGGATGATGCCCATATCATTGAGTTTGAAACGCACTTCTGGTCAAGAATGGTAGAAGAAGCATCTGCATAAAAAAGGATGAATCCTTCACTGAATAGGGATTCTTGCTATACACTTTTACCTTTGTGTAAATAATAAAAAGTCCACGGGCGTGGTTGTTAGAAGCTTAAACTACATAAAACTCTCTCCAATTTTGCAGGGGGAGAGCCTTTGTCGGGAGTCTTTAATAATAAAAGGGATAAATCCTTCACTGAATAGGGATTCTTGCTATAATGTTACCTTTCTTCGCTCCAGTAATCTCGAGGCAGCAGACAGCAAGAAATTGTGTAAATAATTCGCTGTTGCCGGGAGTCTTGCATGGGGCGGAGCACCAGGAAGTTCTTGAACTTTAAAAAAATTAGGAAATTCCAAATAGTCGTCATGAGCGATAGAAATTGTAATTTCCTCCTTGAGAGTCACATACCCCCTTTCATTTCATTTTAGAATTTAACCTCTCTTTCTCTCTTAAAGACAATTTCATATAACTTCTGTTTTCGTATTGTTGTACTTTCGTCCGCAGACTACTTAAGCACATGTCGAGCCAACTCAGTCGGAAATGTAATATGTAGGCCTAAGTGTAAAGTTAAGTTCATGTTCTTCCTTTTTTCTTTCTTTCTTTCTTTCTCTCCCTCTCTCTGTCTCTCTCCTTTTCCTCTATCTTCTTTTAAAAAAAAAAATTCTTTCTTTTCTTCTCATTTTTCTGTGTGTGACATGCGTTGCGCGTAAGTCTATCAATGTCTTAATATGGTAGATTTACATTTTGATGTTTCCCTTTGTAGGTGCACCTTATATCCAGAAAGTGCCCTATTTTGATGGTGCCCCCCCCCCCCATGTATTGATCTCGATAAAAAATAAATTTTCTCATTAATTCTATTTCCAATATATCTAATACTTGCACTAATCTCCAATTAAAAAATCGTCTACTTTCTCTCAAGACAACATTATATAAAGGATTCATTAATGCAAGGCTATCACGCGAGTAATCTCTCAATTTCTAACTTCCTGCTTTCCTCATCTTCCAGTCTCCCTTGCTTAAATATTCCTCGTTACTTCCTTCCAATTGAACTCCAACTTAATTGATGTTATACACTGTATCTATTCTTCAACTACAGGTAGATGCAAATGTTACTCAAAATCCATTATATAAATCACACTCAGGATACAGCCAATCGACGAGAATTGCTTCAATCTATATTTTACATGTATCATTAATATATGGTTTTACAATGGCTATGGTGATGAGTTGTCTAGGTAACATGTTGATGTGTTTGTTAAAATGTATTACCATGGTGCACCTTCTTGGTTACAAACAAATTATGTGTATGTATTAACGTAAGTTCGTGCCTTTACATATCACAGTAGAAATCAATGTTTTATATTTGATGCAGAATAATATTAATATTTGGAGATTAGAAACACAAACAGTTTCCATAACCGTTCAAGTGTTTCAAGAAAAAGTTAAGAAAACTTTCTCCTGGATGTAAATTGGAATTTTAAGCGGTTTCATTGGAATTAATCGAGAAATTCCCCTCGCTAGCGTGTAAATAAAAATACGCCGGCCGGCCATACGTAAATGGCAGTGACGGTAACAACGAATTAGGAGGAAGGGGCGCATACGTGAACTACAAGCGATGATGATGGGGCGGGTGACAGGGGTAGGGGGCAAAGTTCGCCCCACTCTTCAAGTACCCCCCTCCCCAAAGGGCCACTTTTACTTTGTACGGAAGTGCCCCTTCCCCTTTTTAACTCGGATAAGCGCACATTTCATCAACACATGTGCCCCCTTTCCTATCTGATAAGGGCTATTTAGAAAAATGAGGCCCTTCATAAATAAAAAGTGTCCCTTTTCATCTCTGGTAAATGACCATTTTCATATATGAGAAGTTAATTCTTTTCACTTCAGTGCGCTCTTCACCTCCGATAATTGCCCCTATTCAAATCTGAGAGATGCTCGTTTTACTTTGAAAAGTACCCCTTCCCCTCCTGATAGGTACTCTTTTCATCTATGATGGGTGCCCATTTTCACCTTTGCTAACTGCCCTTTTATTTTGAATCGTGCCCCTTTCCCTTTCTATTAAGGGACCTATCCCCTTTTCATAAATGCCCCTTTTCACCTCTGATAAATCAATTTCTGATGGATGCCCCTTTTCCGTCGACAATGCCCATTTCCCATACTCATAAGTGCCCAATCTCATTTCTGGTGAGTGCCTCCTTTCAGGTGTAAGAAGTGCCCAGTTTAAACCTTGATAATTACTCTTTGTACCTTGACACATGCTCCTTTTCTTTTCTAATAAGTGTCTTTATCCCTTTCGATATGTGTCCCCTTAACCTCTCATCATCAGGCACGTAGGCACGGGGGGGGGGGGCACGGGAGAGGGGGGGGGCACGTGCCCCCTACCTGCTCATCATTAGTCTTGCACTAATTTAAAGCGACTAAGAGTAATTTCCCCTAAAGCTTGCTTGCTCGCTCGCATTTATAGATGATACAATTATATGTCACTTTAAAACAAATGTTTTTTCAGTCTTCCGTGATGCTTATAACCCCATCATGATTTGGTTTTTTCCTCTTTCTAAGATGTAATTTTTCACTCTGCGACCTCACAGATCTTACATTTTTTTCTCGCTCGCTTTGCTCGCTCGCAATGAATATTCAGACAATCACACTCAGCCGAAAGTGTGATGCTTAGCAATAACTTGTATGATATATAAAGAAAACAAATATTGAAATCGTCCCTGATAATGGGATCACAATGAAAGGTATATACCAATGTCTAAAAAATGTATAATTTCGCCTTGAGATTTCGCTTTGTAGGTGCCCTTTTTTGTTGGTGCTTTCCACTTTGGAAATAGCTCCGCCGTCCCTGCTTACGCATTAGCGCCAGCGTTAATTTCACGCTTGCACGCACAGGGTGTGTGTGTGTGTGTGTGTGTGGGGGGTTCCTCTCTAGCTCTGAAGCTGATTTTTTTTTTTTTTACCTAGATTCGTGCGATTCGGTTAATACTTTTAGAGGGAGTCTGAGGGGTGATGTGCCCCCCTCTGAAGCTGACATTTTTTGGATTTTTGAAACTGGATTCGTGCGTTTTGGTTAATACTTTTTGGGGAGTCTGATTTGATTTCAAAACACCTGCAGTTAATGCGGGATGGTGTTGCAGCCTCTCTTTCCCCGAAAATTAAAAAATTACCAATATGCATTTGTTATATCTTATCTCGTATATTTTGGTGACAATTAACACTTTTCACAACATACATAAGCTCAAATTTCAGCTCACTCGCCAATTATTAAACCAGGAATAGATATTGGGGCAAGAGGCTTCAGCCCCCACTGATGGAAATGTCAAAAAAATTGCGCGCGAGCATAACTTGAAAACGGGGAATGTTGATATCGGACAAGAGATGTGACGTGAGCATGTCCCCTTTCCAAAATAATTGTGCCCGTTTGTAGGTACCAGTACACTATTAAAGTCCAGTGCTTCTAATATGACCTTGTCAGTATTGGTAAGTTTAAATAATGGTCTGCGCGAATTTCGATTTCCCCCCCCCCCCCCCCCCCCCCCCCCCCCCCCCCTATTGGAAAATCCTGGATCCGCGCCTGCCACCGATCAATATAGAACAGCTCTGCCCGTCACTTTGCTGTAAATTTAATAACGTTTTTGTCTCAGTAAAATGATTTTAACGCGATTTGTCCAATATGTAGGAATTGTTTGTTCATAGCTCATCTCTGAGTTTGAAAGTTTATTAATTTCAGTCAGAATACATTTCAACGGCAAGAGTTTTGGTTAATAAATTTCAAACAAATTAAAATTTTAGGTGACTGCGCTTGCTCGTACTTCGTTTTCATTTCATTTCGATATTTCTCTACTCTACGTTAGGCACTTTGAGAACATGTTGTTGTTGGTGTTTTTGATGTGTTGTTTTCAATTTTGCACAAAGTACACCAGCTCCTTCCTTTGTCTTTGTTAGGTAGAACATCTAGTCGTCTACCAGAATAGCAACATGTTTGTTGGAAAGAGTGTTCCCACCCTCCTCACGGTCGTGTTGGTGACACACACTGTGCTTCGATGCTCTGCCCAGAATGGTAACACCTTTATTAATAACGATAGTAATAATTAATATTTGCATAGCACTTACATCCGCCAAGCAAGGAATTCAAGGCGCTCCAATATTACTTTACAGTATAGCTAGGCTACCGATTTCGTTTCCAATTATAAAAGTTGGCCTTTATGGGCAGATGGGATCGTAGTATTATTTTCGGTCTTTGACATCCTCTCTTGTGTATACATAGTAAAACGAATGGGATGTATCACGACGTAGATAAAATAAATAACATGTAAAATACATTCGAAATCAAGTTATAAAGGTTGAAGGAGAGAGCATACCAGGTGAGTTTGGGGATTTACCTTTACATTACTATCGACAAGATTGGAATGATATTAGGCGACATTCCAGTCAGGTGCTGTATTGTTTCCTGAAGGGGTTCAAATAGATTCCATGGATGCAGTGACCACAAGATTGCATTGCCATTTTGGGGGAAATGCTTTTGATCTTTTCCTCGGTACCATTTTTAATCCCAATGATGATTTCACCAAACCCGTATAATCCATGAACACTTCTAAGTTTCTATTATACCCCTTCCTCAGATTAGCCTGTTGGTACGTACGGACTTCCTAAGCCAAACTCTGGATGTCCTACTGGCTGGAGCGAAGGATACAGATACCATGATACCGAAGAAGGCTACCCAGGCAACGCTTGGAGCGACCCTCTAGATCTCGATGGCACTTGGGACCAGGCCAGCATGGAGTATAAATTCTGTATGAAAACCCAAAGTAGCTCAGCCGAAGACACCTGGCCAGCGGGAAGCTATTGCATCTATAAAAAGGGCGATTGTCCATCAGGTAAATATTGCCAAGAACCGATCCTAGAAAGTTGATAAAGAGTGGACCCAATGTTCTTCAAACTTTCTAACAAAGAGGTCATCAGATATTTTTGGTTCCTTTTCAATCTTGAAATGTTAAATTTGTCAAAACATCAACATAAAAGTATACAAACTATGTTTTGCATATGTTTTTAGAAAATAAACAATAATACTGTTGTACGCATTTATAATTTTTAATTTCAAAAGAGACAGTGTAATTCATTTTATAACGATATATACTCTAACCTCAAAAATGTTATGACAGAACATAACACATCACAAAACACAATATGAAAAGGAAAACCCAAAACTGGAATCGTTCACCGGTACTTTATGGAGTTTCTGCCGGCGTTAACAAAAAAACTTTCTACATGCGGGTGTTTCGATTCGGATATTTCGTAGTTTGTATGAGTAGTTGCCCAGCAACTTCTGACAAAACTCCGGAATGTGAGAAAAACCGACGGTTTAACTTGCAGTGTGAATGCAGCTATAGATGTACTTCATGCTTTTTTCCCAAGAGTAAACGTTGAAAGATGTCGACTCAAATATTATTACCTGACTGTAAGCTAACCGTGAATGCTACATCTTTACCAAACCAATAAAAGTCAAAGTAATTTTAAAAACATATAATGTTCCTAGTGAATCAGGAAATTAAGTAGCTTAACGTCTTGCCGTTTTCTTGAATTTAATGTACACGGTTGGTCATAATGGTGGAATAATTATTTTTGCCCCAATTTATTGAATGATTTTGACAATGACTTATTCCTAATAGATCTAGATAACAGATAACAAAAAAAGAAGAAAAAAAAAAGAAAATGCAATAATTTTTCAGTAATTCATTGCATTTTCCCCCAGTCCCCAACAGGAAATTTTCCTCTGTAGGGCCATGCATTATGGTTCAAGGCATGCCCACATAGATGTTGGGGTCGGGGCAAAATGCAATGAATTATTGAAAATTTATTGTATTTTCTTTGTTTTTTGTTTTTTGTGGGGGCGTCGACGTACCCTAGCTCCCGCTGTGTAAAGTCATGATTCATTGGCTAAGCAATGACCCCGTTACTGTGAGCCCCCAGGATCAAACCGTGTCGATGTGCTATATTAGTGCCCTTTTATGAGGTATTAATCCCCATTACTGTCAGTTATGACTTTGAAGGACGTAGGTCCCCTAGTTGATTGGGATTGTAGCACACACATGCTTTAGCAGTCACGCAAAAAAAAAAAAACTCTCCCCAATTGTCATTCAAGAAAATCTGAGAATGTATACTATTATCTAGATCTATTAGGAATATCATTGTCAAAATCATTCAATAAAATAATTGGGGTAAAACATAATTATTTCACCATTATGACCAACAGTGTACATTTATTTCCCCTCTCAATAATGTTTTTGGAATCTTTTATTTCATATGCCACAGGATTCGTGTCTGGCTCTATAAGGTGGGATGATGAAAATAGCCGCAATGGTAACAGAGCAGGCGGTACTCTCCCAGACGGGACCTACGACCATAATACAGTAATCTTCTTCTGCTGCAGAAGTGACGGCGTGACCAGCCAAGCTATCTCCCTCCCAAGAGGCGATTTTTTTTATGTTGCTCTCACGCTTCGACAGTTGTCAGCAGGTTGGTTATAATATTCTGATAATAATAATAATAATATTCAGCTTTTATATAGCGCTTAACCCTAATAGGGCCGGGCTATTTGAAGTCTTAGTAGGGCCGGGGGGGGGGCCATTATGGCCCCCCCTTAAGATCTCGGCCGCGAAGCGGCCGATTGCCGCGAAAATTTGCACGCATGTCAAGTGAAGTGTAAAGAATAATATGATAATTTCAATTTTTTGAAAATTCACTCATTTGCATATTTATGGTAATTTATGCAAATAAAGTCATAAAAATCACATTTTTACCCATAAATCATATATTATTCATATTTAAGCATTCTTTTTCACTAGATATATTCATTAGACCGTTCTGAATAATAATACGACAAAAAATTTGGAAGAGCCAGCTTATTTCTTATGTTATCCCTTGTTTTGATAATTTCTTATGTATTTCATTGTTTTTTTAACTTATGTATTTCATTGTTTTTGTTGTTTTATTTCATCTTTTACTACAATTCAACTATTTTGACTCCCAAAACCACCACCTAAACTTTAATCAAGACCCAATAACCCATGTTTGATCTGTTTTTAGGAAAAATGACTTTGCCATACGTTTTGTACACAAATCACGAAAATGAGCGATTTTCAGGCTGACATGCAAGGACAAAAGGTCACGTGACCTTGTAACCGTAGGTCCGATTTTCAAAAAAATTATTTTAAAAGTTGCGCAAGGCTTGAAAGAAAAAAGTCAGCGAGCAGCGGGGCGCCATCCATATGCGTTCCCGAGCAATCAGAAAAATTGTGGAGGGGGGGGGGGCCATAATGGCCCCCCCGGCCTTATTAGGGTTAACCCTAATAAGGCCGGGCTATTTCAAGTCTTACTACGGCCGGGGGGGGGGGGGGCATTATGGCCCCCCCTAAGATCTCGGCCGTGAAAGGGGCGATCTCCGCGAAAATTTGCACGCATGTCAAGTGAAGTATACAGAACAATATGATAATTTCAATTTTTTGAAAAAAATCACTCATTTGCATATTTATGGTAATTTATGCAAATAACGTCATAAAATCACATTTTTACCCATAAATCATATATTATTCATATTTAAGCATTCTTTTTCACTACATATATTCATTAGACCATTTGGAACAATAATACGACAAAAACATTTGGAAGAGCCAGCTTATTCCTTATGTTATCTCTTGTTTTGATAATTTCTTTTGTATTTCATTGTTTTTTTTAACTTATTTATGTTATTGTTTTTTTTTTTTTTTTAAATTTCTTCCTACAATTCAACTATTTTGACTCCCAAAACAACCACCTAAACTTTAAACAAGACCCAATAACCAATGTTTGATCTATTTTTAGGAAAAATGACATTCCCATATGTTTTGTACACAAATCACAAAAATGAGCGATTTTCGGGCTGACATGCAAAGACAAAAAAAGGTCACGTGACCTTGTAACTATAGGTCCGATTTTTTTTTTTTTTTTTAAAGATGCGCAAGACTCTTAAGAAAAAAGTCAGCGAGCGGCGAGGCGCCAACCATATGCGTTCTCGAACAATCAGAAAAATCGTGGAGGGGGGGGGGCATAATGGCCCCCCCGGCCTTATTAGGGTTAATACATCTCGGACGTCTCTTACCCCGGTCATTGGATTCAGTGCTCTCCCGCACACACTGTGTGCTCAACCTCCACTCCCTGGGTAACATTCCAGCAAGCCGTTACTTGACGCTCAAACACTGTTTGACCAACAATGACGGTCGCATTCTACTGGGTACATTTTAACACCTGCGTGGAGAGTAGCAAGTGTAGGTTAAAGTCTAAAGTGATAGAGTCATGCACATAAGGATGATGTTTGAATGTGATTAGCTTTACTTCGTGTATTGTTTGGGGGATATTAGCATTATTAGCATTAATTATTATTTAATATTACGCGTCACAAAGTGAACTAAATCACAGTAACCCTCGGGTCTCTACTCCCGGTAAAACAGTTCAGGGGTGCGGGTGGACCACTACACTGGTGTTTCCATTACCATGTGGTTCAAGATCCGATTGTAAATGTTGACCTGATTGTATTCAATAAGGAGTATGTGCTTTTTGAGGAAGCAAGCAATGAAGACAAATTGACTGAATTACATATTCCAGGTGCGAGGAATGACTGTAACGAAGGAATAGTTCCTATGGGACAACGAGGATAGCGATAATGGATGCAGTCAAACTAGAGTGTACCCTTATCAAGGCCTATACACTTTTGGTGAGAATGTCAAACTCAATTTCTGCTTCTACGCACCTGACATAAGTCAATCCTGGCCTGATGGTACCTACAGACTTCCCAAACCATTGGCTGGCTGTCCTAGCGGCTGGGAAGAAGGATACAGATACCACGACACCGAGGATAGCGACGCAAGAAACGAATGGAGTGATCCAATCCATCTTGCTGGTACAAGGGAAATCAGTAGCATGAGAAACGAATTCTGCATGAAGTCCGTTGCTGACTTCGCTGGCCCATCCGGCGCAGACTGGCCACAAGGAAACTACTGTATCTACAGAAAGGACGGATCATGCCCATCCGGTAATTCGATGATTTTCTGCACATGTAATAATCTAAGGATACTGTTCTTTGGAAGCAAATAGAGACTTTTTACCATAATGTGATCAGCGCTATACAGAAACCATTTATCATTATTATTATCATAATCATTAATAGTATTATTATTACTAATAATATTATTGTTGTAATTATTATTATGATTATTATTATCATTATTATTATTTTGTTTTTGTTGTTGTTGTTGTCGTTCTTGTTCTTGTCTTATATTATCGTTATTGTTATTATCATATAAAAATTAAATATTATTATCATTATTATTATTATTTCTTGATTTTCTTTTGATTTGTTTCATCCCTCAGGCTTTGCAACCGGCCAGGATACGTTTATCCACTGGGATGATGAGGATGATGACAATGAAAACACGTGTGGGGGTGTCTTACCAGATGGCAGATATCACGTGGACACCAGGATTCAGTTCTGCTGCCGTGGGGATGGCGTCACTTCGTTTGGAATTTCTCTTCCTACCTTTAATACTTTCTACCTGTTCGCCCTTTCTAGTACATGCCAAGAGGTTGGTGCTATTACGATGATGATGATGATGATGGTGATGATGATGATGATGATGGTGGTGGTGGTGATGATGATGATGATGGTGGTGATTATGATGATGATGGTGGTGGTGGTGATGATGATGATGATGATGGTGGTGGTGATGATGATGATGATGGTGGTGGTGATGATGATGATGATGATGGTGGTGGTGATGGTGTTGATGATGATGTTGATGATGATGATGATGATGATGATGATGATAATAACAGTAATGATAATAATAACAATGATAAAAGTTATGATGGAACTAACCATCCCGGGGAAGCTCGAAATGCCTACAAAGTAATTTAATACGGTGGCTTTATCCCAGCTTCGCTAAGGCGCCCAAGTCTTTCAAGGAGTGACTTATTAACTATAGAATATAACAACTTCCTAAACCTGTTAAAGGTAATATGTCCTATTTGCAGGCCAAAACAATGAAAAGGTTACATTCCAACGGCATTTTAAAAACAATACTAATTTAGAATTCCCTTAAAAAGAAAGGGCTTGAAAATGGCTTTTAGTGGGAAAATAACGGCCATTACTTGTCGAATCGACTTAACTGATTGCAATTACCTAAGTAATAGTCTGATTTTTAGACCCTTTTACAGAATGTTCGTATGTTTTGTGCTGCACAAAGAGACAATCAGTTTAATTTTGGCCATGTAGTGTGTTACTTATGCAGACACATGCAATATGAACCTGTTACAGCTCATTTTATATATGTTATTCCCAATGAAAAAAATATGTCAGTCATCACTGAATAGTGTCTGCCAATGAACTCTAGACAGTAAACGGGTTTCTTTGCAATATTTGGATACAAGGACACTGCGAATATTTCACAGATAATAATAATAATAATATTGAATTTTTATATAGCGCTTAATACAAATGTCTCTAAGCGCTTTACAAATTAATTATTACCCCGGTCATTGGATTCAGTGCTTACCCGCACACAATGTGTGCACAATCTCCACATATGGGACGTACATGACATATTCGTAATCCCTGCAAATGTTTACAGAATTTTATATTGGCTACAAAATGGACATGGTATCGTTAACTGATATTGTTATTATTATTTTTTTTTAAACCTGACAATAAATAATTACTTTAAATTTGTACGTGGCATAGGACTTAGGTTTTCACATTGAAAGGATTTGAAGGATTTTTTAAAGTATGATTCGTGTTTAATTATGTTTTCATTTTTAAAGCCAAGTCTGTCACGTGACGTATTATGACCAATGACATGGCTTACATCCTGAAAGATACTTCCTCACTCTGTTCACGTTTACCACACCAGGTTGACGGCATGGCAGTGACACCTGAATGGTTCCGCTGGGACAACGAGAATTACGACAATGTCGACCTTCAATCTGAGGAGCACCCCTATGAAGGTATACAGAGTGGTGGTGAGAATGTCAGACTTACCCTCTGCTTCTACGTACCACAGTAACCATCCTGCAGTCTTCTTGGAACGTGCGAACCTTTACGCCAAGTAAATTTGATTCCTAGCTTCTCGTCCCCATTTTGAAAATAATGAGAAAGAGGGCTCTCCAATTCAAATTTGGTTAATTTCAACTCATATTTTCTTTTATCTGATTTAATTTGATTGTACATGCAATCCAGAGGCTTACAACGAAATAACGTTGAATTAATGAGTTTGGTTACCTCAATGTCCACATATATCAAGAGCTTTTCATATTCATTTTAGAAATAATATATCAATCAATAAAAGAAATGAGGCGGCCCGGAAAAATAGGAAAGAAGCTGGGTTGAGAAACTAGGGAAATTATTTCTATTTGGCCTTTCCAACATGGCCGATTAGAAATGAATGAGGTAGAAGCTTTTTCTTCTTTTTTTATATTCAATTTTAAAGATTTTGCTATTAATCCTCTCTGTTACACATCAATAGTAAATCAATACATACGGACTAATAATTTCAATGCTTTGTGTAAGATTGCTTAGTTGATAGCCTTAAAGGGATAGTTGAGTTCTGTTGCAGAGGGCGCTACACAAAATATTTTTTTTGTGAGATAATGAAAGACTGAGTGTCAAATTAGAACGAACATAATATTTAAATGACAAAATCATTTTTGTTTGATAAAAATCGGTTCAGAGACGGCTGAAATATAACGATTTCTAATACTTGTGTACCACCACAAATATTAGATATTTTGAAAAATTTGAAAAAACCGTTGAAAAAACGAAATAACGCCTATTACATCGTATTTCAGCCAATGCCGATGTTGGCTTTTTTGTTTACATTTTTATTTTGCTTATATTACCCACAATTAGCCGGCTCATGTATTGTTACTTTTAATTTAATAATTAATTAACCGTGTTTGTTTGAAAGTGGAGCTGAATCGGTATGATCGTATTGGCTAAATTTCACTTATTTTGGGGTCCAACATTACCTTCATAGCAATTTTAGGTTCTAAAAGGGCACTATAAATGTCATAGATAAGAATAAGAGCAATAACCATGCACTTTGAAGGCATTTACGGTCTGAAAACAGAACTCAACTATCCCTTTAATTAGAGGGAAACAGTGATAAGTTTGTGCATCTAAAACATACCGTTTAAGTTCATATCATAAAACTAAATGTTCAATTTACTTCTTAAATAGGGGTTGATTCATAGAGCTTTTTATTGGTGTATCAAATTAACTCAGTAGGGATTATTTGGCTTTCTTTTAATCTTACTTTCGTATAAAATCATTAAAATATTGCTGGGTTCCCTTTAAGATGTTTGAATGCAACTTTATTCCTGAATGGTGTACTAGGTTTTGTAACTCTTTGTAACTATTTTGTAAGATTTTCTTACGCTTGTGATCTGCTTTAGTAGAATTATGCGACAGTAATACACATGGTACAGGAGGGCTACACTGTATTGAAGATCCGACAATATTTATTCACAAGCTGGATAGAAATATCGCGTATGAAACTAATGTCCGTCTGCAGCGTAATACTCGATAAAGCTCAACTGCTCCACAGTTTAATAAAGTGATTTCCTTACTTAAACCTGGGACAATATGCTATACATATAATGATCTAAAACCGAATCACTATACCCTTACCCGAACACTACATCTTCCAAAGTCTTTGACGAAATGAAACCCATAGCGACTGTAGCAGAAGCATAACAATGTCGTATCAAACAGTATCAATACGTTTAAGTAGTGATATTTCTCCATCACACATACGACAATGTCTGTCTTTGATACAGTGTGAAAAAACGTTCGATCATCTAACTTCATTTTTTTTTTTAAATATCAAGTTAGTTTAAAAAACTCCTTTTAGGAACTGTTGGTAATTGGTTTACCTGAGTCATGTTATCATTGTTTAAAATATAAGGTGACGGGAAAGCTCATTGATGACATTGTTGTCTTCTGTTCGCCGTTGGTCAAAAGAGATAATAGGGACTTTTAGATTTGCACAACGACAATGTGGATTGCTACGGTCGACGTCCTTTTAATGCACTGCCTTGAATGGACGTCACACGTATCAGTCCACTCAAATCTAAAAGTCCCTAATATTAATCCTACACGACAAATCTTATTCTACTATTACTGCCATCACATCTATTACTACAACTACCACCACCACTACAACTAGTTCTACTACTACTACCACCACCACTAAAACTAACTACTACTACCACCACTACCCCTACTACGCAGGGGGGGGGGGTTTACCCCCCCCCTTTTTATGTGTGTATGTCAGCTGTTGGCATTTCATTTTTTTTTAAATAAAAAAAAAGAAAAAGTTATGCCAATGGCTGACCTAAAAGAGATGACCTTACCCCCCACCCCTCACAGAGCAAAATGTCAAATTTTCAAATTTCGAGACAAAAAAAGTGTCCTCTTACCCCCCCCCCCCCCCCCCTCGCTTATTCAACGGCTGGCCGAGTCGTTGCGATATTTGGGGGACCAAAAAAACAAACCAAAAGTGTCCTCTTACCCCCCCCCCCCCCCCGCTTATTCAGCGGCTGGCCGAGTCGTTGCGATTTTTGTTGGGACCAAAAACAAAAAAAGTGTCCTCTTTATACCCGCCCGCCCGCCCCCCCCCCCCCCCCCCCTTGGAAAAATCCTGCGTACGCCACTGCTACTAATACTACTTCTTCCTTTACTTCTTCTTATATTACTACTACTAATATTTCTATTACTATCATTACTACTACTTCTATTATTACTAATACTAATATTAATACTACTACTAGGAATTGGAAAAGTACTAGGAGAGATAATAATGAATAGAGAGAGATATGCCACGGGTAAAAGATTGACGCGGAAAATAGAGAGACAGAGAGATTGACGCGGAGATTGACGCGGAGATACAGAGAGACAGAGAGACAGCGAGAGACAGCGAATTGAGATATGTGAATTAGAATTAGAATTAGAATATGAGGTTTAAATGGACATATCTGCCTATAATGCCATTCAAGGCACACACACACACAATCAAAACATTACAAGAGTTTACAAAAATTAGTAAAAACCGACATAAAAAATAACAACAACGGTAATACACTATTCACGCAGAAACTGGTACTCTATTATTTAATGTAAGCCTATTATGTATGCCTGGATATATTGTATGCCTGGATGAACATGAATCACTGGATTCACTAGCAAGCACAATGGGACTGTTTCAACTTGGACTTTTGTTCGCACTCTGCCTGTATGCTACTTTGAATATAAATGTGTACTGCAGTGAGCAATCCTTCACTAAACTCTGTATTAATGAAAACTTCATCAGAAAACACTATCTTAAAAGGAGGATTCCATAAAACCCGAATATTACAGCATCTTTTCAACTAGAGCTACTACATGCGGGTGATGTACATCCCAACCAGGGGCGTCGCCAAAGGGGGGGGGGGGGGTGTGGGGGGTGTGGGTGTGCGACACCCCCCCCCACCGGTCAGGATATTGTCGGTAAAATTGCGCTGCCGTCGGGAAAAAGAGAAAAGGGGGAGGGAAAAAAGAGAGGGGAAAAAAGAGAGGGAAAAAAGAGAGGGAAAAAAGAGAGGGAAAAAAAGAGATGGAAAAAAGAGGGGGAAAAAAAAGAGGAAAAAAAGAGAGGAAAAAAGAGAGGGAAAAAAGAGAGGGAAAGGGAAAGAAAAGAAAAAAAGGAAAAGGAAAAAAAAAAGAAAGGAAAAGAAAGGAAAGAAAGAAAAAGTGGAAAACTTCATTTAAACGAGTCGAGAACGGTACGACGAATCGACTTCTTTCTCTAATAGTTTAAGGAAACGTCAAAGCTTCCGCGCTTCGCGCGAGAGGGGGAAACTGAATTCAGATGAATAGGGCTTATTAAGGGTCGAAAACGGTACAACGAATTGTGTTCTTTCTCTAATAATTTGAGGAAACGTCAAAGCTTTCGCGCTTCGCGCGAGAGGGGGAAACTGAATTCAGATGAATAGGGCTTATTAAGGGTCGAAAACGGTACAACGAATTGTGTTCTTTCTCTAATAATTTGAGGAAACGTCAAAGCTTTCGCGCTTCGCGCGAGAGGGGGAAACTGAATTCAGATGAATAGGGCTTAATATGATTCGAAAACGGTACGAGGAATCGCCTTCCTTTCTCTAAATTGTGATAAAACGCCAAAAATTCCTCGCTTCGCGCGGGAGGGGAAAACTTCATTTAGACGAGTCGAGAACGGTACGACGAATCGCCTTCTTTCTCTAATAATTTAAGGAAATGTCAAAGCTTCCGCGCTTCGCGCGAGAGGGGGAAACTGAATTCAGACAAAATTAATAGGGCTTATTTAGAGTCGAAAACGGTACAACGAATCGTGTTCTTTCTCTAATAATTTGAGGAAACGTCAAAGCTTTCGCGCTTCGCGCGAGAAGGGGAAACTGAATTCAGATGAATAGGGCTTATTTAGAATCGAAAACGGTACAACGAATCGTGTTCTTTCTCTAATAATTTGAGGAAACGTCAAAGCTTTCGTGCTTCGCGCGAGAGGGGGAAACTGAATTCAGATGAATAGGGCTTAATATGATTCGAAAACGGTACGACGAATCGTCTTCTTTCTCTAATAATTTAATGAAAGGTCAAAACTTCCGCGCTTCGCGCGGGAGGGGGAAGCTTCATTCAGATAAGGATTAAGAGTCGATAACAGTACAACGAATCGTCTGCTTTTTCTCATAATTTAATGAAACGACAAAGCTTCAGCGCAAAGCGCGGAGGGGGGGGGGAATTCATTCAGCCAAGGATTGCCAGTCGAAAACGGTACAATTAATCGTCTTCTCTTCCTAATAATTTAAGGAAACGTCTAAGCTTCCGCGCGGGAGGCCCATCACCCACAGCCCCCTAATGAGCGCGCTTTTATGTGATTCTCTTGCTCACTACCGCCCCTCCCTAAAATAAGATCCTAGCTCCGCGCCTGCATTAAAATATATAGCTATCATGCTGACTAAATTGAAGAAATAATTCGCATATTTATGTCGTCGACGAAAATGACCATTTTGCGCATATGCAAGTACTATAGATAGTCCATAGGAAAAACAATTTAGCTTTCGGCCCCAGGTGTATAGGGTTGAAGTTGTAAATATTGGACATTTAATTTTGTCGGTAATTGGTGGCTAGTTTTGTCGGTAATCGTTAGCCTCTACACGCCCCCCCCCCCCGGATCAGATCGGGATCAAGATGGCACTGTACCATCATTTTGCATTCATCGATCATGACCCTCCCCTTCAGCGTAGAATTCAATAGTCTCCAGGGGAACTGTTACAGTGGAGATATGCAAATCTTCGACTGTTGTCCGACGTTCGTGATGTCATCAATTCTTTCGGAATTCAACGAAGAAAGACAAGGAGAGGTAGGCGCGGTAGCCGCAGAAGAAACTGTCTCCGACAATCAAAAGTGTTAAGATCATCATCATCATCATCACCAAACCTTTTACTTTGTTCCATCATAAACCTACTACTGGGTCCATGAACGTTCGCTCAGTGCGCAATAAATCAGCCCTGATCCACGACTTCATCTGCGACAGTAATGCTGAGCTTATTACAAAGACATAAACCTGGCTAACGGACAATGACTCTACAGTTCTAAATGAATTTGTTCCTTCTGGC